TGACCTTTGATGTGAACACGAGAGCTGCCCTTGGCTGTTTACACACAGGAGTGGGCAACACCCATTTAAACAATTTACTTTCAATCCTCAATGTGCCTGCACTGAACTCATCAACTTTTAAAAATCGGGAAAGGGAAGCTGGAAAGGCAATAGAGCTAGTAGCAAAAAATAGTTGCCAGCAATTCCTAAACCTTGAACGAGAGAAGGCAATTGAAAATGGTAACAAGCCTGACCAGAACAATTTGGTACCTATTGCCTGTTCTTACGACATGGGGTGGCAGAAACGGGGGCGAGGTTTCAACTCTAAGACCGGACATGCTGCAGTCATGGGCCTTTCAACTGGTAAGGTCCTTGACTACACAACAAAAAATAAAATGTGCCGCTCCTGTAATGAAGCTAAAAAGGCAGGAAAACAACCAAATGACCAAGATTGTAGAAAAAATCATTCAGGCTCTTCAAAGTCAATGGAGCCTTTAGCTGCAGTTGAACTTTTCAATAATGTAACTAAATCAAATGTCAAATTTTCAATTTACACAGGGGATGATGACTCAATGACTGAATCTCACCTAAAGCAAAACGTACCCTATGGTGTGAAAAGAAAGGTGATACAGTTCACATAAAAAGATCCCTTACAACACGCCTATACAACTTGAGCCAACGAAGTAAGTTCCCCAACAGTTCAGTGTTGTCACAGAAAGTCATAAATTACCTTGTCAAATCCTTTACATACTGTATTGCACAAAATAAGGGGGATGCTACGAACATGAAATCTGCAATTCAAAGGATTGTGCCTCATGCATTTGGTGACCATACTGGTTGTAGAGAAACATGGTGCCGATACAAAAAAGACCCTTCTCATTATTGTCACAGAGATCTTCCCTATGGCAAAGACCCCCAAGGAGATAGCCCTCAATCAGCCCTGAAATCACTCTTTGATGAATATAGCACAGACATTGTTATAAACAAACTTGCACCTGCAGCAAATTCTCAACGTAATGAGTCTCTGAACAGTGTGGTGGGCTCGAAGAACCCCAAAATTCGCTTTTACGGGGGAAGTGAAAGCAATGATTATCGAGTGTCCTGCAGTGTCTCTCAAGTAAATTTAGGTTGCAGGTACATTCCTCAAACTCTCGCGTCACTTAACATAGAGCCAGGTCTTTTCTGTGAAGACCATAATACGAAAATGGACAAGAAAAGTTCGAAGGACAAACAAAGGAAATCAACAGTTGCATTCAAGCGACGTCGATCACAATTACACAAACACCAGATTTCAGAAACCTCGCAAAAAGAGGGCAAAGAAGGTACCATGTATGAAAGTGGCATTGGCCTGAACCTAAACTCTTCTGCGACAACATTGGAGTTGAACAATTCTGAACTTTCAATCACTGATCTTTATGATATAACCGCTGCTGTCACGAAACAACAAGTAC